ATTAGCTAAATTGATAAAATTTTGTGATATACAAACAGTAACACCTCAGCACACTGAAAGCAGCGGAGTGAGGTCACCTCCCTCCCCTGTATTGTGTCCATCTTGTGTATCGTGTGGGACTGATTGGCTTAAGGACCCTAATGAGGGCATCAGGTCAGTGTTTCTCGGTAGGGTTTAATTCTCTGCTAGATAAAAATAAAAACACAGACTTTGATATTTTCATTTTGTATCCCAGTGGAATTGTCCTGTGTTCCCTATGTTGAAACTATTGCTCTGGTCAGCCTTGGAAGCCAGGATGAGTAACCTGGGCGTGAGGAACTCCTGGCTTTTTGAGCAAGGGATGACTAAAACTTGGAACTTTACGAAGGACACATTGGAGGTGTGCTGAGGACGTAAATTAGATGATAGGAAACTGTTTGAGATGCCGAGTCCCTCAAGTTTTTGAACAAGGAAATGACCAAAACTTTGAACGTTACAAAGGACGGGTTGAAGGTAGTGCTGAGGGACCTGAATTAGATAATAGGAAGCTATTTGAGATGCCGAGTCCTTAAACTTTTTGAACAAGGAAATGACCAAAACTTTGAACGTTACAAAGGACGGGTTGGAAGTAGTGCTGAGGGACCTGAATTAGATAATAGGAAGCTATTTGAGATGCCGAGTCCTTCAGAAACTTTTTGAACAAGGAAATGACCAAAACTTTGAACTTTACAAAGGGCAACTTAGAGGTAGTGCTGAGGACTTGAGTTAGATAATAGGAAGCTGTTTGAGATGCCAAGTCCTTCATGTCCTAACTGGGCTGGTTCCAAAGGTTTGAATTTGGGAGAACAAAGGTGCCATTTGAGGAAGGGGATGGGAGAGGTTAGAGGGGATAAATTTGTTTAGACCGTTGGGTTTGTGGGACCAGTGGAATGCCTAACAGAACTGGAAATGTGGAGTTGGAATTTGGGAGTCCCTGGGATTACGTACAAGATGTGGGAATGATAATTAAAGATCTGGAAGTGGGTAAGATTGCCAGACCTCAGGCTCTGGGTTGGCCTGGCTAGTTTTCTGTGAAGTCACCTTTAAAATACCAACTTAAAACATATATTTTTTTTCAAATCTTAGCTGTGGTATATGCTTTTAAAGGTTTCACTCCTTAAGTAGATTGCACTGTGTGGAGTTGTTTTGGCTTGGGGTTTGTTTGGGTTTAGTTTTTGATAACAGAAGCCTGTTATTCCTAGCATCGGTTGCTGTAAAGTACAGTGTGCAGCGATAGTGTAAGGACCCAGAGTAGACCGCTGCCCTAGATCACCGCACAGGGTGCTTTTGAGTTCTTGTGTCAGCTATTTTCTCAGTTTGTTCCCTAACTTCCCTGGCATCTGCCTGCCTGCCAGAGATAGGCTTCCCTTCTCATTTGTGAGTTTAGATTAGAAACGACATCACGGTAATTGGCTGGAATTTTGGTTAGGCCTTGACTGCGACCTAGAGGTGAAGAATGTCTTGTATAATGGGAGTGGGCTCTAGGGCAAGACTTAGAATAGATCTGTTTTCTCTAAGACCTTTTTTTTCCCAGGAGCCCATATTCAGGGTTCAGATCAGCTATGTTTGGCTTGTATGCCAGCTTCATCACTTGGTATCTTAGTGAGCCTGGGTATATTACAACCTCTGTGCTTCAGTTCCTCATCTTAAAATAAGTCTGTTAATATTACTTAATAGAGTTGTGAGAATTAAATGAGGAAAGACTAAGCTCTGCCTGCCACAGAGCAGACCCTGATAAACGGGCCAGCTGTTACGTTTTGTTGCCAGTGTTCCTAGTAAATGGGGTGGTTGGATGACTTGCGTTTCAGGTAAGGTATTGCTGTATAATAAATTCTGCCCTTCGTAGGCGTGGTCACCAGGAAGCAGTCACTGAATTGGTTGTTAAAAATGTCTGGGGTGTGGGTGGTCTCAAGTGCCAGTTCATCCTTCACAGACTCCTTCCTCCCACCTGCTCAACGCTAGTGCTCTTCTCACCCCGCTCCTTTTTGTGCCATGTCCTTGTCCATGTACATGGCTTCCATTAATCCCAGTTGCAGATACTGACCATCCAGATCAAGTCCTTTGTCCAGGGACCTACTGGGCACATGTGTGTGTGTCGATGTTTTAAGTGGCTCACACTCAACATGCAGAACAATTCATTATCCTCTCTTCCCAAACCCCTTTTCTCCCTCCTCAGTCCCCTCTGTTGTTTAAAGGCAGTGCTGTCTGCACAAGCCAGAAAGTTGTCTCCTCAGATTCCTCCCTCTGCTCACCATTTGGATGGATGAAGAAGGGGCAGGGATGACAAATCGATTCTATTCCTCAAATCACTCATTACTTACCCATCCTTGCTGCTGCCTTTATCCCACTCTCAATCATGCTTAGTCTCCCTGCCTCAATTCTTGTCTATTTCCAGTCCATCTTCCACTCTGCCTCATATCTCTCTAAAACACACATCTGGTCACTTTCTCCCCAGCTTTTGAGGCCCTTCAGTGGTTCCCCACTGCCTGCAAGGACCAGATGTGCTGTGCTGGCCCCACCTTCTTTCCTCTACATGTACCCAGCAGTGCTCAAGCCATAAAGAACTGATGGGGGCCGGCCGAGTGGCTCAGTTGGTTAAGAGCATGAGCTCTGAGCATTAGGGTTGCCGGATCAATTCCCACATGGGCCAGTGAGCTGCTGCTGAGCTGCCAACAGGTGGCAGGATGGTTCAGCTGGTGAGAGCATGTGCTCTTAGAAACAAGGTTTCTGGCTCTACTCCCTCATGGGATGGTGGGCTATGCCTACCCGCAACTAAGATTGAACATGGCACCTTGAGCTGAGCGGCTGCGAGCTGCCGACAGGCAGCCGGATGGCGACTGGACTTGGAGCTGAGCTAGCTGCATCCTCCACAACTAAGACTGAAGGACAACAACTTGGCTGTTCCCCTTCCCCAAGTCCCCAATTTCCCAATAAATTCTTTGAAAAAACAAACAAAAACTGTTGGGACTGCTTCACACTCGGTATCTCTTCCCCCTGCATACACTTGTTAAACTACTCATCCTTCTACACCCCCTCTGACAGTTCACACCCCCTCCTCCCAATTTGTGCTGCTGCTCTTCCTTCTGTCTGCCTCTGTGGCACTTGTCACACTAGGTGCTGTTGATTTGGTTTGCACGCCTTTCAGTTTGCAGGACTTACTGATGCCAGCAAGTCAGTTGGCATGTGCAGGTAGGAAGTTGGTGCCTGTTGAGTTGTAGTGGATATCAGCCACTTTGGAAAACAGTCTGACTGTTTCTCAAAAGGTTAAACATGGAGTTGCCACATGACTCATCCATTCCACGGACCTTGGTTATATACCCCAGAGAATTAAAAACATGTCTACACACAAACTTGCACATGCATATTCACAGCAGCACTATTCAGAATAGCTAAAGGTGAAAACAGCCCAGTTGTCCATCACCTGGTAGATGGCTAAGCAAAATGTGGTCTAGCCACACAGCGACTCTAAAGCCGTAAAAAGAAATGGGGTATTGATACATGCATGCCATGACATGCATGAAAACATTATGCTGAGTGAAAGAAGCCAACACAGAAAGCTGTGTGCTGTATGATGCCATTCATGTGAAATACCAGAATAGGCAAATCCATAAAGACAAAGTAGGCTGGCGGTCACCAGGGCTTGTGGGGAAATGGGAGGTAAGCTAGTGGGTATGGGGTTTCTTTATAGGGTGATGGTTGTGCAGCTCTGAATATACTAAAACTATTGGATTGTACATTTTAATTGAGTGACTTGTATGACATGGGAAGTAACATTGCAGTGAAGCTGTTTAAAAAAAAAATAAATGGGATTAGGTGATGACCATTTTGATCTACTTAGTTCTGAAGTGGTTGTTGAAAGTCAGGTTTCTTGACTTTAGTTCCAGTAGGTTGCCCAATAAAGTGATACAGATGCTTTTAGTTCTGGCCTTTTAGATGTTAATGAGGCAGTCAAGTCTCTGTGGATCCCCCACTAAACTATCACTTTTTAAGCTACTCCCAGCTGACATGCCCAGGGCCAAACTGCTGCTTGTTCTGCTCAGCTTGGTGTAGAGCAGTAGCAATTCTCAAGCTTTGGCCCGTGTCAGAATCACCTGGGGAACTTGGTTGAAACACAGAGTCCGAAGCCAGAACCTACTTCAAGGAGCCTGGCCCCCTGTGGCCCTTTTTTAGCTTAGCAGGTGATTCTGATACACGTGTGCACCAGAGAACCGGTGTGCAGTATAGGAGTCTGAGGCTGCAGATCTGAATTACCTGGTAGAGAAGGAGCCTCTTCGACATACACGTCCCTCCTAATCCTGCCTCAGGCTCCAGCCAAGATTGTGCTGCCTGGATGGAATCTTCCCTGATCCCCCGTCCCAGCTGTTTGCCACCCCATTCGCCACCTTCCTGCACACAGTTCTTAGCTCTTCTCCACATCTTATTGTCCCCTCCAGAGCCAGCAGGGATCTTCTTCCTTCCTGCAGACCCAAGTGCAATGACTAGCCCCTTGGTAGACGCTCAGTAAATGTTTATAGTTTTAAGAACTGCAGATTGAAGGGAAGGCTACTGTTACCAATCCAGCTATCTGAATGAGTAAAGCTTATTTATCTTTCAGAGGGTGTTTGAAGTGTGACCTTGTCACAACCTCTGTAGGCTTGAGTTCTCCCCCATTTTCCTTAGGCGAGCCTCTAAACTTCAGAAGGAAGGGCCGGCTGAGTGGCTCAGTTGGTTAAGAGCTCACTCAAGAGTCTGAGCTCTGAGCAACAGCAGTTCGAGTCCAGCCCAAGCTGAGCAGCCGCTGAGCTGCCAACAGGTAGCAGGATGGCTCAGCTAAAAAAAAATAATAATAATAAACTTCAGAAGGAAGCTGGACCTTTGGACTGATAGAAATATGATTTATCTTCCTTTGGCACCTCCTGCAGTAGTTGCAGGAGGTATCCTTTTTATGTGAATCCTGTTAATGCTGATTCCTTCTTAAGAGTCCTTTCTCTGCCTCTTTTTAGAACAATGCTAAAGTAGCTGTGCTTGGGGCTTCCGGAGGAATTGGGCAGCCCCTTTCGCTTCTCCTGAAGAACAGCCCGTTGGTGAGCCGCCTGACACTCTACGATATTGCTCATACACCTGGAGTGGCCGCAGATCTGAGCCACATCGAGACCAGGGCGACTGTGAAAGGTACTGAGCACACTGGCCCTGGAGCACTTACCTCTCTTCTCCCCAGTAGACCAGGATCCAAGTTTAGAGTAAGATTCTTAGATGAAACTAAATGTTCAGAGACTTGGGGTTTCCATGTTCAGTTTAGAAATAAATTTTATAAATGATGACACCGTTTTTTGGACTTGAGTCTAAAAGTTTAAATAGCAGTGTCTTTCAGAAAAAACAAAGGTGGTCTAACCTTCCCATTCTAAATTTTCTCTAACTTCAAAAGTAAGGATGGGGAAGGGAGGACCTTCTGTGGGGACTTGAGGCAGTAAGAAGTGCTGTTCCTAGTCCCTGCCGGTGGCCATCCTGTGCCATGGGCCAGCCCTTCACCCAGGTTACCTTGGCCAGCTTCTCCCAAGCATAGCCACCTTAGGGAAATCTGCCTTCCTATTAGAGAAACATAGGTATGTTATCCAAGAAGTAATTCATATTACATATATAATTATATATCCTGCTTATTTTACCCTCACATCCTAGCACTGTTTGTCCATGTCACCCAGTTCTTGGTGAAATCTTTTTTTTTAAGATTTTTTTTTTTGTTGGGGAATTAGGGGAAGGGGAACAGACAAGTTGCTGTCCTTTTGTTCTTCAGTCTAGTTGTGGAGGACGTTGCTTCACTGGCCCAAGTTGGCACCATCATTGCACTCTTCCCGGGCGAGGCAGGTCACTTGCCGGCTTCTGGATGGCCGCTCACGCTGGCTGCTGGCCGCTCACACTGGCTGCTGGCTACACACGGTAGCCCATGGCAACCCACTGCAGCAGGGGCTGCAGCCTACGCCCTCGCCGGCAACTCACAGCAGCCCAGCTCCAGGTTGAGCTGTTGTTCAGCATCTTAGCTGTAGAGGGCAGTGTCACTGGCCCTCATATGTGGGATCCGAACCGGGGCCCTCTGGCATCCCAAGCCAGTTCTTAACCAACGCGCCACTCAGTCAGCCCAATGAAATCATTTTTAAAGGTATGCTATAATTTATTATTAATACCCATACTGTTGACCATTGGGCTCTTTCCTGTTTTACTATAAATTTAAATATATAAGCTGTGATAAACACCCCCATCGTTATCTCTTGTTTATTAGAGTCCTAAGAGTCGCGTTAGTAGGAAAGACTGTTTGAAAACTTTCACTATAAAGTACCAAATTGCTGTCCAGAAATGTCTGAACAACGCAGGAGGCTGACTGTCACGTCCTGTGTTCATGTGCCTTCCCTAGTCCCTCTGAATTTGTTTGCTCATGTTCTTTTGTGTTGTGTATTTGAGTTTCTGAAAGCTCCTGCAAATAAGGAAAAAGTTAGTCAAAATCAAAGCAGATTGTGGTCACTGGAGCAAATTTCCCTGCAATCTTTGAAGAATGGACCTTTTTTCCCTCGGGTGATAGGAGTAAACAAAACAGGTACTAATACTTACGAGTCCTCGTTTATCAGCACAGGGGTTTTCTTTTGTGGTCGTCAGCATGCCTTCTGATCTAACCCTGAGACGGAGCTTTTGTTAGGATGACTGACAGGGAGTAAGCAGCTCTTCTAACTGCGAGCCGAGAAGGACTCACAGGTGCTAGCAAGTCGGATAAAAACAAATAGCCAACTTGGTTTGGTTTTGTGGAAACTGGGAGGGTTGCTCCATCCAGAGTCCGGGGCCGGGACACATGGAGGCTGGAGGAAAGTAGAGTGAAAGGGCAGCCTTCATGCCAGCCAGAACTGTCAGACTCACAGGGTGGTAGTCCTCACAGAAAGGAATCACGTCACAGGTGGGCCTTCCAGCCTTTCTTGAGGCACATGGTTGGCATTGGACACAGGTGGCCGTCCTTCCCGGGCGCTGTCCCCATGATGTGCTACCCCCTCTGGGTCAGAAACTGTGACATTGCTCTCATAGGTGTTTTTTTCTAGGCTACCTTGGACCTGAGCAGCTGCCAGACTGCCTGAAAGGTTGTGATTTGGTGGTTATTCCAGCTGGAGTCCCAAGAAAACCAGGTGTGTGTTTGAAAGCGCCGCCTAGCATTTCCCTGCAAGTCAAATGAGGAAGTGGTTTTCCATGAAAAATGGGTCTAGTCAGATCTTTCTGCTGCAGAAAAAATTCCCAAAGCTCCCCATTGCCTGTGGGATAAAGATCAAGGCCTCGGTGTGTCGTCATTGTCCCCCACCCTCAGGAAGGCCCTTCCTTCCACCCGTCTCCACCTTGGGAGTTCTTCCTGATCCTTGATGGTCCTCCTCAGATATCACGCTCCCTAATTCCCCTCCCCACACTCCACCCCCACAGACCTCTATTTTGGCACTTGTCACACTGGACTGTTTTCCCTACAAGATGCACTAACTTGAAATGGAGACCCTGTCTCACTTATGTTTGAATTTCCTGTATCAACTAACACACACATTTGAAAATTGGCCTTGTGCTTTGTGAATATCTGAATTGGATCGTTCTCAGGCATGACACGGGATGACCTGTTCAACACCAATGCCACGATTGTGGCCACCCTGACTGCCGCCTGTGCCCAGCATTGCCCTGAGGCCATGATCTGCATCATTGCAAATCCGGTGAGTGCTGCTGGCAGGTAGGCCATTGATACTCTGGGAAAGCTCACAGTTAGCAAAAGTGCTAATGTGCTTACTTATAGGGAGAAGAATCAGACTGACACACTGAAATGGTAAGGTGGGTTATTAAGTCCTTAAATTTATTTCCTAAGAATTCCTTCTGGCATGGACTGAGTGAGTTTTAACTGGTTTTCCCATCAGCTAACTGTGTGCCTTTGGGCAAATCCCGTCCCCTCTCTGAATCTTAATTTTTTTCACCTGGAAAATAAGCCCATTCTTAAGGTTCTTTTCAGCTATAATTGTGGTAGCCCATGAATTTCTCTTTCTGTAGTTTACTCAGGGTTTGCAATTCCTGGTTCCCCATGGTTCCCTTTCTCCTCAAACTTGTGCACCCATCTCGTACACAACCACCCCAGGCCCTACTCACTGGCCTTTGCAGGGAGCTTTTTCTTCAGCTCAGAAACTCCTGATGCTGTATCCTGTCTGAGAAAACAGCTGCGGTTCCCACGCCTGTCCTAGCAGGTTCTTGGGTTACATCTAGTAGCAACCCTCTTCATTCCTCCCTCCCGGTTGAATTTGGATTCTGGTCTCTGAGCCTGAGAAGGATCAGAGTGACTGATGTTGACTGAGTCACCGCCGTTGGTAAATTCCCAGAGCTTGTGCTAGGGGCCTCTGAGAAGAGGCTCCTGCCTTTTCCAGCCTGCTCACCCTTCCTCAGGGCCCGTTGGTTAGAGGTAGAAAGCAGTTGCTGCTTTTGTTAGGGAGCTGACTGACTAGTGCCTAATATATATCTGTTGTTCCTATGAACCAGGTGAAGTGTTAAGCACTTGCCAGATAGTAAGTCATTTAATCTTTACAACAACCTCATGGGGAAGTTGTTGGCCCCATTTACAGATAAAGAAACCAAGTCCTCGGAGTTGGGGTAGCTTGCCCAGTGTTATCACACGAATGACAGAGCTGGGACTTGACCGTTTGACATCTGAGCTTCTAGCCCTGTGCTGTGCTGTCTTTTTTAGGAATGGCCATTCAGGTATAAGCCCCAGCTAGAGCCAAAGGTGCCCTGTGGAGCCGTCATCACATTTTTCAGTTGATAGTTGAAGGGTCACATGCATATTTGCACTGTGGGATCAGAGGCCGCCAAGGGGAAGCCTGCTGCAGTTTATGTGGAGGGGGAGGAAGCACTCTTGTCTAGGAAGTCGACTCACTGTGACCCATTCCATCATGCAGGGTCACTTGCCTATAAACAGTCATCAGGACATTTTAATTTGGCACCTTAGGACTTGTCAGTGGTCTGGGAAAAAGATTTTCCTTTTGCTGCATGGTTGTGCTCCCAGAATGCACAGCCAGTTACGCCTGCCTCTTGGCTTTTTTAGGTTAACTCCACCATCCCAATCACCTCGGAGGTTTTCAAGAAACATGGAGTCTACAACCCCAATAAAATCTTTGGGGTGACAACCCTGGACGTGGTCAGAGCCAATGCTTTTGTTGCAGAATTGAAGGTAAGAGCTGCATCAGGGATATTTCTGAACTCTGGCCATCCTTGGCTCATTTATGGGCATAGAAGACACCAGGGTGCTTACAGGCCACTTGTAATGGGGAGTTTTAAATGTTTTTCATAGCTCGCCCCCTTGGTGGGAAGTAGCTCTCACATTTTCTTGGGAATCCAAACAGCAGGCCGCTGCAGGTTTAAACCAGCCAGCTGCAGTCTTGACCCAACTTACTCTCTTCTCCCTGGTTTATCAAGGATCCAGGCTTTGCCTGCGCTTCTCACTGGCTGGGCTGAGTTGTGCTCTGAGTTCATTACCTTTGAAAAATAGTACTAATGGGGTTTGCCAGCTAATCATTAGACAAAGAGTGATAAAATCAGTAAACGTGAAGAATTCGGGGAAGTTCTCCAAACCCTAAGGTAGCAGAATTGTCCCTAGGCTGTAGTTCTGATCCGTCTTCATGGGCTCCCTGTGGTAGGCAGCTTACCTCGGAGAGTTCTGACCTTGCCAGTTGCCTACTGCTGCTTAGGCTGCTCGGATGAGCTGCCAGGCTCATCCTGAGGTGGGTTTGGCACCAGCGCCAGGTCTGGAGTCCTCGGTGCCTTTCACAACTTGCTGTCTAACCTTTTTTTTTTTTAAAGGTTTTACTGGGGAAGGGGAACAGCCACGTTGTCCTTCAGTCTTAGTTGTGGAGGACACAGCTAGCTCAGCTCCAAGTCCAGTCACCATCCGGTCGCCTGTCGGCAGCTTGCGGTGCCGTGTTCAATCTTAGTTGCAGGTGGGCATAGCCCACCATCCCATGCGGGAGTCTAACCGGCAACCTTGTTGTTAGGAGCACATGCTCTCACCAGCTCATCCATCCTGCCACCTGTTGGCAGCTCAGCAGCAGCAGCTCAGCTTGGGCACAGCTCACTGGCCCATGTGGGAATCGAACCAGCGACCCAGTTGCTCAGAGCTCGGGCTCTTAACCAGCCGAGCCCCTCAGCCGGCCCTAGCTATCTATCCTTTTTTGATGCAGATCCAGCACAGATGTCAGCAAACTTTTGAAACAGAAGAGCCGCCAGGGGTCAGCAAACTGCAGCTTGCGAACTGTGGCTTTGAAGCAAAATTGAAAATGAAAAGAAAACTATCATAGTTTCATTTATAAAAATTTTTAAGTCTGAGCAACAGCGGTTGAATTCCCAGCCCGAGCTGAGCAGCCGCTGAGCTACCAACAGGTGGCAGGATGGCTCAGCTAAATAAAAAAAAAAATAAAATAAAAAAATTTAAGGATATTATTCACATAATGGTGATTATGTAAAAATATATTTATGGCTCTTGAATAATTTTTAAATTGTTGTGAGGGACAGTATCGGCTCTTCCAGGGGTCGACAAACTTTTTAAAATTTTTTTTATTGGGGAATTGGGGGGATGGGAACAGCACTGGGGAATTGGGGGGAGGGGAACAGACAAGTTGCTGTCGTTTTGTTCTTCAGTCTAGTTGTGGAGGACGTTGCTTCACTGGCCCATGTTGGTATTATCATTGCGCTCTTCCCAGGTGAGGCAGATCAGTCGCCGGCTTCTGGATGGCCGCTCACGGCGGCTGCTGGCCGCTCACGCTGGCTGCTGGCTACACACGGTAGCCCATGGCAACCCACTGCAGCAGGGGCTGCAGCCTACACCGTCGCCGGCGACTCCTCGCAGCCCAGCTCCAGGTTGAGCTGTTGTTCAGCATCTTAGCTGTTGAGGGCAGTGTCACTGGCCCTCATGTGGGATCCGAACCGGGGCCCTCTGGCGTCCCAAGCAAGTTCTTAACCATCGTGCCACTCGGCCGGCCCTCGACAAACTTTTGAGATGGAACATACCCAAAGAGCGGCATGTGGCTCGCGAGCCACAGTTTGCTGACCCCTGATTCAGCAGAACCACTTTGGCCCCAGAAGGTATCTTTGTCAAGCTTTGCCATTTTTTTCCCCTGACTTTTCAGATGAGGGTGTCTCTAAAGCAGGGAACATGGTTGTGTACACAGCTTAGTGAGAAGGGCACACACAGGACCGTTGACCTTTATTCCACTCCTCTGTGCACCAGACAAACCTGCTTCTGAAGTATTGACGAGGCCTCACTTTAATACATATGATCCCTGGGCTCGGTGCTAGGCATGGGGTCACCAGGACCCATAAGACATGGCTCCAGGCCTTGGGAGCTGAGTGGAGTAGAGAGACTTTAATTCAAGAGACAATTTAGTTGAATGACGGTTCGGTTCAGTGTGTATAGCGTGTGATTGAGTCAGGAAAGGCTTTATGGGGATCACATTGAAGCTGAGTGCACAGACCGGGAGGGCAGGGCGCCCAGCTTCCTGGGAGCAGTAGTGCTCACTCTCTTAGGACTCCTGTGGTGCTACCAGCTTTCAGAGCACACCGTGTCCCCTGGGCACCCATTCTTACGCAGGACAGTAGCTACATGTGGGTATGAAATTAGAGAAAATTAAATCAAATTAGAAATTCATGTCCTCCATCATACTAGCCAAATTACAGAGGCTTGCTAGCCACATATGGCTTCTGTATTCTTGCCAGAAGTCCTATTAGATAGTCCTATAAATAGCCTAGCTTTACTGTTTGGGGTGGAGGAAGAGGGATCCTGGCCCTCAGAGAATCTGGTGCTTGACAAACTTCAGTTAAGGGAACTGCCCTTTACTCAGACCGCCTGACATTCTGAAAACTCCTGAACCATCCAAATTGACCCTTAAACTCCCAGTGCGTAGCTCCTCCCTCAGCCCTCTCAGCCGTCTGGACCCCTTGACTGCGGCCTTCCCTTTCCACTGGGCTCGCACAGGTGGTCTTTGTTTACCTTTCGTACTCCGCAGATGTCACATGCATTCTTATACCTCAGTCTTGGCTCTTTCTGCACCTTTTGCCTAGAATATGCATCCCTTGGCGAAGTTCTCTTCCTTCCTAGATGGAGGTAGGTCCGTCCCAGGAAGCCCTCCCCACAGCTGATGAAGTGCCCCCCCCCTCCAGTTTCCATAGCCATCTTGTGCATCCCTCCAAGCACCTAGCCTTGGAACGTCCCTTTGTACCTGTCTCATGTTGGACAATAAGTTTCTCAGAAGCAAGGCTGCGTCTGTTCATGCCCATGTTCCTGGTGCTAGCACGGTGCCTTGGCTTGTGAGCCCCCTGCGCCCTCCAGCTGCGCCTGCTATGTCTGCCTCCTTGAGGCCGGGCCTCCCTTCTTGGGCAAGGCTGGTTCCTAACTTGGGGCTTCTCATCTCCGGCCCCTAACTCCCACCAGATTCTGGTTTTGACTGTTATTAGGAAATAACTGGGTCACAGATTCTCGGGGGCTTTGTACCCAGGTTTGACAACAGAACCCGCCTCTCAGCAAGCCCACCAGCCAGCCAGAGTGCTCTGAGCCTTCCCAGTTGGGTTCTTTCTGTCCTGACCCCTCTTTGAGTTGACAGACGACTCACCCCTGGGTTTCCTGGAGTCGTTTTGAATTTTACTCTGAAACGAGGGAAAGGGAATTTGACTTGTTCTCTGTGACAAAGTGTCGGCACATTGAGTCTGGGCTTGTGCATGGGAATAACATTAGCTGTGGGAAAGAGGACTCATCCTGTGATTCTGAGGAGATAGCAGACGGATGGGGACCAATGGGGGGTCATTACAAGGAGGCAGCTTTCAAGTCATCGTAAAGGGAAAGCCTCACAGTGCAGCAAGTCACATCTCACTGCACGTGTGCAGACTGATGTGAGACCCGGCATGGGGCCGGGGAAGGTCGGAGCACAGCTAGATCAGTCTCTCCTGGTTTCTTTGTTCTGAGTTCAGTGGATTTTCCCAGTATACTGGTGCGTTGGGTGGATATGACATGTTTTATACTCAAAGAGTTTGTTAAAAATTAATCAAGCTTCACACTCTGGTGACTAGGGTTTAGATCCAGCTCGAGTCAACGTGCCTGTCATCGGTGGCCATGCCGGGAAGACCATCATCCCCCTGATCTCTCAGGTACGTGTGTGACCTTGCCAGCAAGCCTGAAATCATGAGCTCCTATAAGGCTCCACTTGGAGGCACGCAGGACAGACTGACAAAGATCTGCCCATCTGTTGGATTTTGAAAGGATCCCTGCTACAGCTGCAGACCCACCCCAGTTGTCTGGGGGATTCTTGACTGGTGTGGGGCTGTGGTCGGGCTCCAGCATTTGGGGGTCCACAGCTGTGTGGAGTGAGTGTATCAGAAAGTGATCAAAGCAGCCAGCTCCAACACACAGTGAAAACTGCTGGTAGAAACATGAATCAGCTCCTCCTGAGGTCAGACCAGGCAAAGGTGCTATGTTTAAAAATTATAGACAAAGGAAACACCGCTAAAAATAAGATACATCAACCTCATAACCCCTGAATATAATGAGAAGGACACAAAATATTTGTGGTATTCTTGCCAGAAATGCATAACCTTGCAAGAAATCTGGAGGGAACACCTCACAAGTCCAAATTGATGGACATTCTACAAAATGAGTGACCGTACTCTTGACAAGTGTCACAAAAGAACAAGGGAAGCCTGAAGAACTGTTAGAGCATAGACTAAAGTGACATAACTGATGCCGGTGGGGTCCTCCTCAGGACCAGGAACAGAAAAGGAACAGTAGTGGGGAAACTGGCAAAATTTGAAGAAGGTCCGTAGTTAATGTACTGATACTCATTTCCTAGTTTTCATTTCCTATTCTTCATAATTGCATTGTGGCTCTTTAAGATGTTAACATGAGGGTAAGCGGGCGAGGGAAACCTTTGTACTGTTTTTACGACTTTTCTCTAAGTCTAAAATTAGACAAAATATAAAAAGTTTTTTAAAGATGAGTAGGAACTCACTACACCTCCCCACAAAGTTGACTTGTTCTTTAAAGAAAGGCCCTTGGTTTCCCATGTAGTGGTGATGCGCAGGGACCCACCGCGAGTGGGGTGAGGACAGGGTGGGGTCTGGGCATGGTGACGAGCCAGAACCCGCTCATGGGATCCCTGTGCTTTGCTTGCAGTGCACGCCCAAGGTGGACTTTCCCCAGGACCAGCTGACAACCCTCACTGGGCGGATCCAGGAGGCCGGCACAGAGGTGGTCAAGGCTAAAGCTGGAGCAGGTAGGCTTCCCAGAGACAGCCCCAGTGCACTGCTGAGCAGAGGCCCTGCCGGAGTTCAGGGTTGAAGGCTGCGAGGGCCTGGGCAAGGAGGATACCCTTATTCTAAGTGTCCCGTATGTTCGCTCGATGGTCCTTTATCAGAAGGCAGCTCAGCTCAGTGCAGAGCAGAGTCGTGTTTGAGGGCGGCAAAGCTGATTCATGCCATTCGTGGGTTTGTGAATTGAAGGATGCTGACCTAAATTCTCTGCGACTAAAGCTAGAGATCGTACAGATGCTTTATTTAGCTGGCAGGGCAGGCTCACCTGGATTTTACCGTCTTTGTGCAGGCTTGGCTGACTTTCCTGTGTCCTCCTAGGCTCTGCCACCTTGTCCATGGCATACGCCGGAGCCCGGTTTGTCTTTTCCCTCGTGGATGCAATCAACGGAAAGGAAGGAGTTGTCGAATGTTCCTTTGTTAAGTCCCAAGAAACGGACTGTCCCTATTTCTCCACACCGTTGCTGCTGGGGGTATGTATCCTGGAGGCTGGGCCTCTTGACCATGGAAGGAGAGTTCTCTCCAGTTAAGACTCAGGAGCTGTGCCCCATTCGTCTGCTCCATAATTCAGGGTTCCTTCATGCAGTAACTATTTACATCTCACTGCCTGGTGTGTGCTTGGGCTTTTGAAGGGGGAAGCGCATCACAGAATTAAGAGCCGGGAGAAACCACAGACTGGGGGGTTGGAATCCCCTGGCCCAGGAATTTCATTCCCCATGAGTCTGGCAGCTGGCGGTCAGTGGCTGCCTGGGTGTGTTTCCTAATGAGACCCTCGTCCCAGCTCAGGGCAGCTCTGAAAGAAGAGGCTTCCCCACGCCAGCCTGCAGGCCGTCTCCCGATGGCTATACCTCTTAGTTCTTGTTCTGACCTCAGAGCCTGCTCAGCCTAATTCCTTCTCCAAGGAGGCCCAGGGATGGTGCACAGCTGTTACACTTTCCGGTTCAAGCATTCCTGGTCCCTTGTTCTTCATCTCACTGGTTTTCTTGTTGGAATATGCTATAGATTGTCCCCTTGAAACTGGCATCTAGGACGGAGCCTGTCTAGTCGCATTGCTGGCTTCAGCCAGACTCCTTTTTGGTCTGGTTGACTCATAACAGATCTTCAGTGAGCCGAAACTCCTAGGTCTCACTCACACAAACCATCAAGCCAAGGTTTCCATTCCTTAGGTGTGTGCACCTGCTGAAATCAGGCAGATGTGTGGTGGCCTTTGTCTCATGCCCTGAAAGTAACAGCTTTGTGACTTGCGCCACCCAGAGGCCCTTCCCACAGATACTCCCTGGGATGTTCAGAGATAATGAGACGTGGTCCCAGGCCTCAAGGACTCCCTTGCAGTGGAGAGACTGGCGCCAAACAGATTCATTCAATAACCAGTCCGGCGCGGTGTGTGCACAGTGGGGTGGGGCCTGGAGGAAAGGAGCGTGCGAGGCTGACTGTCCAGGTCAGGGACGACTTTCTGAGGACACGGCCTGACAGCTGAGGCTGCTGGGGCAGCACAGAAAGGGCTCAGCTGTGGGGGTGAGACGGTGACAGACAACGATGTTTTCCTAGTGTCAGACATTTACCTGCCTAATTACAGCTGATGCTCGTGGATGTTAACATGTTTCTTCAGTCCTTTACCAACTTGGGAAAGAGACTAGAACCCAAAAGTACTCGTATGCTCTGTGACAGGGAGAAGAACGTTAAGTGCTACTAATTATTGAGCACTTGATGTGCCGAGCTGCCCACATGTGTTCACAGACTCCCCTGAGGTAGAGAGTACCGTACACTCGTTATGCAGATCAGGAAGTAAACTTGGTGTGAAGCGATTGTCCAGGGTGCACCCCTAGCGACAGCCAGATCCCACCTGGGACTGTGTGACTGAGGCCTGAGCTTTGGGTGCTTGCAGCTCCTCAGATAGTCCAGGGAGAGGTGATGAAGCTACAGGTTGGGTTTTTCTGTAACAAACTCATTCATGGAAACTAACTTCGTTATAAAATTTGACTGCCTCCCCTCTCTCCTTCAGAAAAAGGGCATCGAGAAGAACCTAGGAATTGGCAAAATCTCCCCTTTCGAAGAGAAGATGATAGCTGAGGCCATTCCTGAGCTGAAGGCCTCTATCAAGAAAGGAGAAGAGTTTGTAAAGAATATGAAATGAGAAAGTTAGTGAGCCGTCCGTTTTCTTAACTTATTAAGGCATCATGTCACGTAAAGCCATTTCCGATACCTTTGTATTTCTGTTTGCTTTAATGATGAGTACTGTGTTGACATTATCATCCCTCCCCAATTGCAGTCGGTCTGCTGGTGCATCACTAAAAGAAGGCTTTGATTTTTTTTTTCAAAGTCTCTTCCATAAATACTGTGCTTTCTTCCCCATTAAAACTGACTTCAGAGTGTCTGGTGTTTTTTTCATCATGAATCAGAACTAGATTTTATTTAAATAGTAGACTGAAGCAAGATGGTTTCATTGGTAGCTTCAAGAAAATCTGAACTATTTATCAGTAACCGCTCCTACTCTGTGCCATTGTGTCCCTCTGGTGTGTGAACTGAAAGAAGGGTCAGCTCAGGCAAGTTCCTCATCGTCCTTCCACCCACATGGGCGCCAGGCCACTGTTTTCTGTCCCTAGTTCTGTGTGGCATTTCCTGGCTAAGCGAAGAGCACCATCTTCTGTATTACAGCTACCTTGGCTCACCTCTGGCCCCCTATGAATTTCATCCTCTTCTAATGGAGCCCTAATATTCAGTGAGTGACACCCTGCAGCCAATATTGTGAAGCAAGCTCGACAGGCAGGAACAACCAAAATGCCAGCTGCCATGCGGGCTGAGGACACAGTGCCATCTATCCTCAGAAAGGTGGCTTCATGTCTTTCTTCATGGCCTGAGAGGGACTTTGTTGCACTGGCCAGGCTTAGAACAAATGTGAGGAGTTAAAGGGAGACTTGATTAGTGTTGGGCGCAATCTGCTCCCCAGAAGCCTTGGCCCCTGAAGTAGAAACAACACTCCATACCTGAGAGAACTTTCTCGCAGCAGGTGATGATGACCTTCCATTTACATGAAAGGGCAGGTAGGGGTGGAACTGTACCCAGTGGGTCTAAAACATTTTACAATCAAGTATGATGTCATTGTTTTCTTAAACGAGTAATACATGTTCATTGTTTAAAACTTGAAATGGAGCCAAAAAAATAAAGCAGGAAATACTGGTATTTGTCCTCTTAATTTTGCATATTTACTAAGTTGAGATGTTTCACATGCTACTTTGCAGACTGTTCTGGTTATCTGTTACTGTATGACACACAGTTGCTTTGAAGCCATTTTATTAGGTCTCACGATTCTGTAGTTTCCGCTGGAAGGTTCCGCCAGGGCCTATGGCCTGGCGTGTTCATGATAGCCCAGGCGCGTGGCTGGTGTTTGGGGAGTGCAGGAGCAGTGGGACTTTTTGAGGTCTCTGGCCTCACTCTTCATGGGGCCCCTACCACAGGGTGGGCAGACATCTTTCTTGATGGCTCAGGGTTCCCAAGTCTGCGGGCAGAAGCTGCCCGACGTTTCAGGCTTAGGCTCAGAACTGGCACAGCATCAGTTCTGCCACATCGTGGCCAAAGCGAGTCACAGGCAAGCCCAGGTGCATGGTGGCAGGAGACTGACTACACAAGGTGTGAGCCTGCCTGCAGGCCTTAGAAGTCAGGGACATGAGAGAAGGACTGCAGGACTGGGGGAGAGGACGAGGTTGCTTCTGGATGATCAGCAGAGGCAAGGATCAGAAAAGATGGCCCATCTAGATGCCCCGGAGGGAGGAGGGGGTGGCAGCACTGAGCTGGCCTTGCAGGCTGGGCGGGAGTCCAGTGGGCACGGAGGGCAGACTGGGCACGTTAAGCAGCAGCAGGCACAGGCTGGATTTAGAATGGGCGCAAGATGTGTGAGGGATGGCGAAGTGTTTGACGTGTAACATAGGGCACACGGCGAGGGCAGTGAGGCCATGGGGGAGGCGGGCTAAAAAACCAAGCTCCAGGGGGAGGGGGTTGTCACTTCGAGGGGTAAAAAGTATAACTTGCACTGTGTTGTACAGCTGAAACTCATTCTAAAGAATGTATTTCACAATAAAATATAAAAAAAGCTACAGAGCTTGGACCTCATCCTGTGGATGGTGGGAGCGGAGGATTGTCAAAGGTGCTGAACAGGATGGGGACACGTCCTAGCTGGGGCTTGTTAACACGCAGATTGCGATTCAGGAGCGTGGGTGGGGCCCAGGGGAGGCCCATGCTGCAGGCCACGCTGAAGTGAGAAAGATGGACACTCGGCAACAGAAGGACTGAGAGCCCAAAATGGGATGGCAGTGAGTGGGAGGGATGACAGGGACATGGAGAAAAAGCCTCTCCCAGCCCCATTTCCACCACCCAGAAGTCCATCAGCCAGTTAGTGTGGGGTAAACTAACCGCGCCCCCGCTTTCAAGCTCCAATTATACACCTCCCAGCCGGAGTACTGGCTGCCATCCCTGCCTTCTCCTGGTCACCTCCTGACACATGACTCCTGTCCCCCTCAGAGAGGAACAGAAACCCAGGGATTGAGTGCATGGTGTTAATGACCATAATGAGCTGCCCGAGGCCCTTGCCAGGGGACGACAGGAACCAGCCTTTAGAAGACCAGAGAGGAGGCTGGTGGGGAGGCAGCAGGGCACCCACAACGATGGTGATTAAATGGCAAAAGAGTTGGTCCTGCTGAGGCTGTCGTTCAGGTGTGAGGTAGACACAGCTAAGTTGGGTAATTATAAGGAAAGCGGAGTATCAAGTTCTTGCTGCTGAGTCCGAGGGAGTGGACAGCTTACCCTATAATAGAATGACCCTGACCTCTCCTAGGAGGGATTTATGCTGCAGTTCTCTCAAATAGCCTGGAGAGGGAGCCAGAGGCTGGTGCCACAAAGCCACTCCTTGGGAGTGAGGAAAAGCATTCCAGGGCCAAATACGGCTCCCTGCCCTGCCTGGTCTCTGCTCACCCAGGTGGGAGGAGCCGCCACCTTCAGGCAGGGATAATGCGGGTGGGAGTTTGAGTCCAGAGAGGGCTGTGGAAATCAGCTCTCAGGTATGGAAGCAGGGCCTAGAGACACAGTATCAGTGCAGGGGTGTCCCCTGGGGGAGCAGGTCTGGGGAGAAACATGCACACACCCCCATTAGTCTTGCCCAAGAGACTCAAGGCCATGCCCCACGGAGGAGTTGGCAGAGCAGCGTGGAGGATAACTTCCCACTTCTGTTAACCAGGAACCTTGGGCTCTCTTTCCTGTGTAATCAGCAAGGCCACAGCTTCCAGCACCCAAGGCGGGTGAGGAGGGGATTAAATAACCCACACCCAGGGTGGCCAGGAGGGTGGCCCAGAGCTCGAGACCTGCAGCCATGTGGGCATCTGCAGCAGCTCCTCCATCAGGCTCTGCAAGAGCCTCCTTGTGCTTGCAGCTCGGAGTTCCAGACCAGTGCTTCCTGACATCTCTGGGCGAATCGCCTCAATTATCCCACTTTCAGAGGCTGCCTACCTCCTCCCTGGCCTGCCATCCTGGGCCTGTGGATTCACCGATGGGGCAACTTCTGAAAGCGGGGAGTTAACCAACCAGAAAAGTGTTCTTCTTTCCTCCTCTTCTAGATGCTGAATTAAATTCCCTCATAAAGTCAAGTAGGATAGCCCAGAACCAGATGCCGAAAGTGGGGCCAGGTGGGTTGATCTTCAACTGGCTTGCCCCAGTACAGCTGATCTGGTGTGAAGCAAATACCTGAACCATCTAATCAATAGCTGCTGCCCCAGTCTGCTGGCCCCTCCCCTGGGACCCCCCTGGCCCTCCCCATGGTAAAGGAGTAATGCCTGGCAGTAAGGCCTCTCTGAAACCTGATTAGCCAGTGCCAAAGAGTTCCTGGTGGTTAAATATTTTAATGCCACTGTGGAGCAGGGCCCCTTCTGCAGGCATGAATGAAAGGGGAGCTACATGGCAGACCTGACAAGCTCAGGGGGCTACATGGCAGGACTGATCCACTCAATGACAGAATGTAACCACACAGGATGGTCTGATCATAAATTCCTAACTTGTCAGATCAGAGCAGGCAGTCACATCCCAGGCCTATAGCTTCCTTAGCAAAGGTCAATCTTTACCTTAAGTGAGACCTGTCCATTGTTCTTATGCATCTGGGATAACATATGTTTGAAATGTCAGCATTTAATTTTCTTTTTCAGATCCCTCAAAGGCACAACCGTAGGCACCAGAGAGCACGAGCACGAAACCGCTCATCATCATGGTGCCTGCATACCATCTCTATTTACTGCAAAGGTTAAATGTTAACTATCCCGTACCCACCAATGTAAAGGAAGGAACTCTCCATTTTACTTTTTGTCCAATCCTAGAGATTTCCCCACTTTGCTTTCTCCTGCCTCCTTAATCTACCACCAGTGGATTTCATATAACCTTTCTTGCTTTCTCTCCTTTGATTCTAAATGCATAACTGCCATTCTCCAGACCATTTTCTCAGTCCGTTGAGATCTCACTTCCAGGCACATCCTGAAATTTGGCTCAAATAAACTCTTATAAAATTTTTCTGTAGGTTTGTATTTTCTTTCAACGACAAGAGAAACTGGACAGCAGGCCCAGAAAACAAGCTCCCCACCCCAGCACAGCCTCGCATTGCTGACCCTCCAGCCGTGCTTCAGACAGAGAGGAGGGTCCAGATGCTGGGCTTTGGGGTGGTTTCCCAGCGGGTTCACCTACCTCATCTCTCTCCCCAAGGCCAAAGCTAATGAAGCGCTGATCTGACACAAAAGGCTCTCCACAACCTATTAAATGAAAACAAATGTGTATTATATGATTCCATGTATGGTAAAACACACGCACACACATATACAATCTCCCAAAAACCTGTTTGTATTTTAATGTAAATGCATAGAAAAAGGTCTTGAAGGAATACACACCAATTAGTGTCTATCCTAGAATGTATTCTGGAATTTCTAGGATGGGAACTTTCTAGGGGTTCCTTTGGAGTGAGTGCTGTATATAGGATGCTCCCAGCTTTTCCCTCTGTGTACTTTGTGTTGTGGGTTGAATTGTATCCCTAAAAGTTCATGTTGAAATCCTAACCAGTACCTCAGAATGTGACCTTATTCAGAAATGGGATCATTGATGATGTAATTAGTTAAGATGAGATCACACTAGAGTAGGGTGGGCCCCTAATCCAAAATAACTGGTGTCCTTGTAAAAAGGGAACATTTGGATGCAGCCACACACACAAGGAGAATGCCATGTAAAGATGAAAGCAGAGATGGGTGATACATCTGCAAGCCCAGGACGGCCAACGGTTGCCTGCAAACCACCAGGGGAGGGGCCTGGGACAGATTCTTCCTCACGGCCCTCAGAAGCAACCAACTCTGCTGGTGCCTTGGCCTCAGACTTCTGGCCTCCAGACTGTGAGACGATACATTGCTGTTGTTTCAGCCACTCAGTTTGTGGTGGGTTGTTACAGCCACCCCAGGAAACAAATACACTTTGTATAGTTGAGTATTGCATCGTGAGAAATCCCTACTGATAGTGGTCAGAATGCACAATGAGTATTGCTTGTGAAATTAAAAATCACATATGTATCTTTCCAAAGCATGTTACTGGGCTAATCCTGCATTCTAGCACCACTCCCTGTGCTGCTGCAGGAGTCTTGTTATTTAACACAGCCACCATCCATTACTGCCTCTTTTATGGACGGGGTGACTTGCCCATGCTCACACAGCTTGGTGACAGTGCAGGATGGGAGCCCTGGCTGCTGGACCCAAGCCCAGTGCCCTGTGTACTTCTTGGGGGCTGTGCCCACTCCCTTTCTGGCCTCTAACCCATCATGCATTTATCAGCTGTGGTGGGCACAGAGACAGCTACGGTGTGGGGTGAAGACCCCCTAAACTGGGAGTCAAATAGCCCTGGATTCAAATCCTGACTCTGCCATTTATACCTGAGTGACCTCGGGTAAAGTGTCATCCACTTGGTGAGTCTCAGCTTCCTCATCTATGAGATCATGAAAAACCCTTTGCAAACTAAAGAGCTGGGCACAGGGATTTGTTGTAATAACCTTACCCTGATGTCACTTTTGCCTAAAACAGGGCCCACTTTTCCCAGCAGCTCCTGCAAACCCCTATTGATTAAAGCTTCCCAGCTGTGGGCTGGGAAACCCTGTTCAGGATGTGAGCACTCTTTTCCTCTCTCAGGTCTGCTGAGCACTCCCTACTTTGCAAGCCTCCTGTGGAAGGCAAAATAATGGCCCCCGAAGATGTCCACATCCTAATCCCTGGAGCCTGGGAGTATGTTACTTTCCATGGCAAAGGGGACTTGGAGGATGTGATTACATATGTTAAAGGCTTTAAGATGGGGAGATTCTCCTGGATTACCTGGGTGGGCCTGATGTGATCACAATGGTCCTTACAAAAGGAGGGCAGGAGAGGCAGAATCAGAGATCTAGACTTAGAGATGCTACACTTTGAGCCTTGAAGAGGGAGGGAGGGGCCAGGAGCAGAGGCATGCAGGCAGCCTCTAGAAAGGCAGGCAAGGAAACCATTCTCCCTAGAGCCTCTGGAAGAAAGGCGGCTCTACTGAAACCTTGATTTTAGAACTTCTGACCTCCAGAACTGTTAGATAATAAATTTGTGTTGTTTTTAAACCACAAAATTTCTAATAATTGTTATAGCAGCCACAGGAAACTAGCACATCCCTCCAAGGTGTTTTGCAGGCATATTCCCTTTAATCCTCATCACAACCCTTTAAGGTGGATACGACTAACATCTCCATTCCACAGCAAAGAGAATTGATGCCCAGAGAGGTTAAGTAAGTTTTCCAAGGTCACACAGCAAGTGGGATTTTAACCCAGGCAGCCTAGCTGCAGAGCTTTCCCCCTTCAGCAAGGTGACTGAAGCCTGTGCACAGCCTGTGCAGGGCTGTGTCTCAAGCATCTCCTGTCTCTCAGCAGCTCACCCCACCACTGGGAGGACCCTCCCTGCATGCGGGTTGATTCTGTCTCTTGAAACCAGACCCTTGGATTTCTTGAGTTCCTGGCTTACCATGCTCTGATGTCTTACATGCTTCTGGAGGGGGGTGGGGGGATGTCCCACCATGCCCCCTGCTGGGATGCAGCATCTTGGTAGCACTTCATAAGAGATGGGCAGTGACCCCAGCCATGGAGGGCACCGGCCATTCACAGAGTGACTGACAGGCCCCGAGGAAGTCATAGCCCCTGCCACTGACCAGCCACCCTCAGAGGCCTGAGACAGCACCACCTTGCTGTCCTACCCTGTGTGTGTGTCTGTCTGTCTGTCCCTTCTGCAGGTGTGGGAGAGGGGCTGCCAGGTCACACAGAGCCTTCTGCGTGACCGTTTTAGAGTCATTTCACATTCTTACCAGCTGGCAACTCAGCCTAGCAGCAGGACAGCTCTGGTAGGAAGTCCTGTCAAGTCCCTCTTTCAATCCCTCAGCCCTCTCCCTCCCTTCCTGGGAGCCTCAAGCTGACCTGGGCTCTTGGAGGGGCCACAGCCAGGCTGCCTTGTCCCTCAGACCTGAGCCCTCCATGAAGCCCCCCTCCCTAAGCCCGGAGCCCAGCTCCACTGCAAACCCCACCTCCATTGCCTAAAAATAACTCCTCTCAGCCTTACTCTCTCCCTCCTGGGCTCCTGCTGGTGTTAATATTCTCCCAGCCAGGCTGAGAGCCTCGTGCTAGGCAGACTGCAGGCCAGTAATTAGGTTAACTCCCCTCCTGCCAAGGACAGAGGCCGATGAGCTGATGGGGCTGGGGTAGGAGTGACTGGAAATGCTCCTTTCACAGGCTGGGGTGATGCTGGATGTAGTGTGTGTGTGTGTGTGTGTGTGTGTGTGTGTGTGTGTGTGTGTTATGTGTATGTTGTATGTGGTATGTGTGTATGAAGAACTTGTTTGCATGACAGAGCATCTTGTCCTGGCCCAGAACCTTTCACAGCTGCCATCTCCCAGTGTGCCTGTGAAGAGACCTCTGTTACAAATGGGAAAGCAGAGAGAAACAGTCCAGTCAGCCCCATCCCAATAGGAGCCCAGTGCAGCTTTAGCCACTTTTGGGGGGCAGCTACCTTGTCCCAGGCACCCACTGAGACTCAAGTCAAGTGGCTTTGCCAGTGGTGACCAGTGGGTGGGACCTGAGTCCTCCCTGAAACCTAACACCAGCCCAGGGCGCTTTCCACAGGGCAGGAGCAAGGTCGTGCCTGCCTGTTGGAGGGGAGGGACTGTCCCAGCAGCTGTGGGAGAGGCCACAGGAGGAGGCGCTGACCTCATGCTGGAGAGTCTCCGCAGAGAGGCAGAGGCCAGGGCCAGTGCTGGGTGTCAGGCCAGGCCTCTCCAAGGGGCCCTGACATGACTTAGGCACGTTTATTGTGATGTGTGTCTACATGTTAGAAACAGCACATCAGGCCTGTCGTCCTGGGCAGCATTGCTCGTACAGGCTGAGTACAAACAGGAGCTTAAAAGATAGAGCTAAGTAGCATTACAGAAGGTACGCAAAGGAGCAAAATGTGGAGATAGAACACAAGCTACCTACGTGTCAGGTACCAGGCTACTTTATAAATTTGACTCCATGCATCCCAGTACAATAGAACCTTCCAGAAGGAAGGAAGAACCCAGCAAGGCTGGAGTAGTCTATAAGGACAGCCTGGAAGGTGAGGCTGCTGAAGGCCAACAAGAGGTCACCTCACTCCAGACCTCCCCACTGCCCCCCACGACCCTCCGAGGCTGTGTAGCCTTGAGCAAATTACTGAACTTCTCTGGGCCAAAATTTCCTCACTAGTAAAATGGAAGCGATAATGCCCATGGCCAGGTTTGCTGAGAAGATTAAGTATACAAGGCCCACAACACACAGTAGGTGCTCAATAAATGGTGACTTTCCCTTGATTTTGTTCACTAGGAGGTCGGGGTCCTCCTGGGGCTCACAGGAAGGCTCCTGGTCTGAGGCTCGGGCTGCTGAGAGGAGGGCTCTGGCTGGGCTACAAAGGAGCCAGAGATGAAGAAGCAGAGATCGGAGGGGCAGCACAGGCAGAGCAGGTGCTCAGGGCCCCATTACTCTTCCCTTCCCCCCGCAAGCCCGCCCCACAGGTCTGGGCCAGCATGAGCACGGGGCTTTGTCTGAGCTGAGCGAGCTGCTCCGGCTTAGGAAGCAAATTCAGCCTGTCAGGGTCCCTGGAGGCGTCATTAAAGCAGGGGGGGGGGGGGGGGGGGGGGGGGAACAGGCCCTGCTGCCGTCAGTGCGTTGGGAGGCTTTTTAGCGTGAAATACACCATGTTTATATTTATGCAGGCCTTTTCCAGGGAACCCAGCTTTCTCCCTGCCCCACACTGACAGCCTGCCCCAAGCCATCCATCTCTCCCCAAAATTGGGCCGCTGGAGTGGGCAGGCTGGGGTTGGCCCAGGCCAGGACCCTGGAGCTTTTCAGGGCTCCCACCTGGCTCTGCCTGCAGCTCACTCAGGCTGCGTCCCAGCTGGGGCAGGGCCTGGGGCTCTGGCAGATCCTCACAGGGACGTGAGTTATCTTTCCTTTCATGTACAGCGGACTTCTACAGCTCAGAGAGGGCTCTTCTTGGGCCACTGGCCAGTCAAGGAAGGCCTCATGGAAGAGCTGGGTCCAGGTTAGGACCCCGCAAAGGGACACTCAGTCGATCCACTCTTGCCTCTGGGTGCCTGGAGATCTGGGTCATTGTGTGTGTGCTCCTCTAGCCATCTCTGTCCCAGGGTCTGATGTGTTGGTGCGTGGATTTGTGCATGGATACACACTGGTGGGGCCCATATGGATGTGGGGAGGGGGGTGGCTACGTATGTCAGGAGTTGTGTGACATGATGTGGTGTGTGTCTGAGGTTTGGGTCGTAAAGGTGCAGAGGAGGTATAGATATGTTCATGAGCATATGTACGTGGATGAGTGGATATGGCATGGGTCCTAGAGCAAATTAAGCCTGAAACGTCGCTGAAGGCAAAAATGACAAAACTAAAGCTGTCCTATTTCAGGCCCATCATGAGAAGGCAGGGTTCTTTGGAAAAGAAAAAATGCTTGGAAAAATGGAAAGAAGCAGGAAAAGAGGAAAAGCAAATAGAAGATGGATTGATTACATAAAAGAAGTCATGGGTGTGAGTCTACAGCAGCTGAATCTGGCCGCTGAGGACAGGACCCTGTGGACATCATTCATTCATGGGGTCGCCAGGAGTCAGAGCCAACTAACAGCATATAAGAATCACAATGGGGCATGTATGTGGAATGTGTATGGGGCGTGTGTATTGGGTGTGCATATGAGACATGGGTATGGGACATGTGATTGGGGCATGCATGTAGGGCATGAAGGAGTGTGGAGGCATGTATGTGGTATGTATATGAGACACATGTGAGCTGTGTGTGAGCCTGGTGCGCGTGTGTGCCATGTGCATGTGTGCAGTGGGTTCAGGTGACTGGAAGCTATTCTGCTGACAGATGGATGCTGGAGATAAAACTGGGTCACATCCTCCAAGACAGCCTCAGCTGTCATCTCTGCAGCCATCCCCACCCCCTCCCTTCTCCCCCACTCAAACCAGTGCCTTGTCCCCTGGTGCTCAGGCATGGTACTCCAGGCCTCCAAGGACAGCTCGCTGCACATTCCTTGGGGATGAGGGTTCCCAGGCCAGGACACCTGCCCAGGGAGACAACCTGGATGCTTCCTGGGCCTGGACACAGTAGATGCCCAGTAGGAATGAAGGGGCAATGGATGGGGGTAACGGCCTGTGGTGGCCTGCCAAAGAAAGAGAGGAAGCATACGTCCCAGGCCACAGTGATGGATAAAAGGGCAGGGCTGTCCTCTGCCCTGCCCACACCCCTCCTTTGTCCGTCTGCTGACATTCTCCCCTTGTTTCTATCCCATTTTTTTTTACCCTTTTTCTCTCCTCATCCTAATCCTCCCTCTCCTGGGCATTACATTTTTTTTCTTGAAATACGATATGCATACAAAGAGTGTAGAAATCATTCATATACAGCTCAATTAATTTTCTCAAATTGAACACACCCATGTATACCCAGCATCCAGCTCAAGAAACAGAACATTACCAGCCTTTCTGTACCCGTTCTAGTCACCACCCCCCAAGGATAAACACTATCCTGACTTCTAACATTACAGATTAGTTTTGTCCAATTAGTCATTTTTAACCCCAATACCTGAGTCCCTTCCCCAATCCAGGAGCAACATTAACCCCTCCCTGACTGTGAGAGGTAAGGAGAAAGCTGTGAGGTCATGTTCTCTGTCCCCACCTATCCACACCCCCTCTCCCATCCTCTTGCAGGCAAAGGATGAAGGACCTGGCTGACTCTTGTCACAGGTGCCTGTTGAGAGCCTCCACAGCCTCTGTCTGAGTGTTTCGGGACTAAATTCCACAGCTTGACAATGAATAATTAGCTTCTGTGAGTGTGTTAGGGCAATACAAGCTGCTATAACAAAGACACTAAAATTTCAGTAGCTTATTTACTACTTATTATTATTTCTCATTCTCTAATAGTCTTACATTGATGTTCTTAGTCAGCAGGCAGCTCTCCTCCACGAGATGATACAGGGACCCAGGCTCCTTCCATCTTGGGACTCCCTCTCCCCTCCCCAGGGCTTTGAGTCTTGAGCATCCTGCCAGCAGATGGGGGAAGAGAGGCCAGACAGGGTACACATGCTTCTTAGGTGCCTCTTCCAGGAAAATGTCACTTCTGCCTGCATTCCATTGGTGAGAATTAGCCACATAGTCTCTCTACATGCAAGGAAAGTTGGCAGATACGGTCCTTGGATGGGCATTCACATCCCATTAACAGCTCTTTACTCTGGAAGGGAGGCATGAACACTGGGGGACTTCACTGTCGCAGTCTCTTTGCTCCTGCCTCTACCTTGTCTGGTGGGCAGAGTTCACTGACTCAATGCCTCATTTACTTATCCCTTTGAGTGGCTTCTCAATCATTCATTCACTTGCAAATTCATTCACTCATTTTCCCCCAGCCCTTTACACACACAATATCCACTCATCTGTGCACATTCATCCATACACATATCTATATCTCCCATACACCTGTAAGACCCAGTCAAAGACAAAGGGGCAGAATAACTGCACCAACCAGAGTCACACCCACCATGTGGCCACCTCACAGGGGTTCAGGCTCTGGGGTGCCCTAAGGTCCAGAGGGAAAGCAGGAAGAGCCAGGGAATAGACAACTTGGTTCTAGGAGGTAGAACCTTCCCACAGGGCCCACACTGAAGTGCCTGAGTGAGTTCCAGCTTCAGGAAGGAGAGCTGTGTGCCCCAGTCAGGGCGAGGGCCAGGACCAGGGAGCAGAAATAAGACTGTGCACAGCTCTGAGGCCAGTGATTCATGGGACAAGTCTGGCTTTGGTCAGACAGATGGAAGTTTTATTTTTATTTTATTTATTATTATTATTATTATTATTATTATTATTATTATTATTATTATCATTATTTTAGCTGAGCCATCCTGCCACCTGTTGGCAGCTCAGTGGCAGCTCAGCTCGGGCCGGGAATCAAACCAGTGAACTTGTTGCTCAGAGCTCACACTCTTGAGCGAGCTCTTAACCAACTGAGTCACTTGGCTGTCCCTGTGAGACAGATGGAGGTTTGAGTCATTGCTCAGGTCACCTATGGACTGGATGGCTGTGGGCAACTCTGAACCTCTCTGGTCTTCAGTGTCCTCATCTGTGAGATGGGACAATGATCTCCAGCTCACAGGCTCATTGTGAGAATTAGAGGCAATGAGGATGAACATAATCGCTAGGATATGACTGTGTTCAAAGTGGTCACTCTCACTCCTGGGTGCAAGCTAAGGGGGACCTGGGTCTGTGGGGGATTTGATTCCAAGTCCCCTGAATGGGTAAAGGTTAGGCTGCTGATGACAATCCCCCAACCCCAGGCCAGGATAGCCTTGGGCCAGGGTGGGGGCTGACCCACTGGGACAGTTGTGAGGCCTCGATAGGAGAGGAAGATTCCCATGTAAAACCCTAAGACAGAAAACTATGGCCCCATCCCCTCTTGCACCTCTTCCTCTAATCCCAGCAAAAGCTTCCTTCTTTCACACCACCACGTCCCAGGGATCTGCACCCTCCAAAAAGACCCTAATGAGGGCATGCTTAACCCAGAGCACTGCTCCCTTTTGATGGATTTACAAGTAGAGAAGAAAGCAGGAGACAGGAAGGAGGAGGCGAGTGGGGGAGGCTGCCGCCTCTGCTCATTTTTTATTAAAGATCTGCTTCAAGGTCAGCCCTGCCCGTCAGCCACAAGGGACTCCTCAATTTCTCTGCAGAGGGAGAGAAAGAGAGAGAGAGAGGCTGGGAGCAGGGGCGGGAAGTGGGGAGGAAGAGGCCTGGAGTGGGCCAGACAGAGAGGCACAGAGAGAAAGAGGCAGTGGGATTCATGAATGCTGGGTAGACCAGCAGAGTGCTGGGCTCTGAGGGGGCACCAGGCGACAGGGAAGGGAGCAGGGAAAAGAAAGGACAACAGCAGAGAAACACTGATGGGTCGGGCCAGGGGCAAAGAGTGAACAGTGAAGGTATCAGATTAAGAGAAGGACCCAGATGCCTAGGTTTTGTCATTTTCCAAATAAAAGGCACCACAAGATCACTGGCCTTTCATCTGCATCACCAATTCACTGCAGGCTATGGCAATGAGAAGATCTATAATAATTAGAGAAGGAACACAACCCTCAGAGACAAGCATGATTAGCCCCATCTTATAGATGAGGAAACAGAGGCTCAGTGAGTATTTCCAAATCCACACAGCCAGTAGGAAATCTTTGTGTTGGACAAGGGGACAGCCCAGGGCATGAGAAGCATGAGCTCTAGGGCAGATGAGGGCCACAGTATCAGTTCCCCAGCTCAGGACAATGATAGTGGGTCTAGCCCAGAGTGTATGACTCGGTAGATATGGCAGATTAAAGATGGCCACCAACTGCCAGCCTCTCCTCCCATCAAGAGGTGGGATCTATGTCCTCCACCTTTGAATATGAGTGAAAGAACATGATTTTAAATGGAGTGGGCTCTGTAACTGCTTTGACCAAATAGAAAATGGGGAAAGTGATGTCGTGCCTTCTGAGCTCAGGCCTTAAGAGATTGGCAGGTTCTACTTCTCCTCTTTTTGGAACACTTGCTCCCAGAGCCCTGAGCTGCCGTGTGAGAAGTCTGATGATCTGTTGGAGACATCACATGGTGAGGCCTGAGACTACCTGGAGAAGGAGCGAAGTCAAACTAAGCCCAGCTCTCCAGCCATCTCCACCAGGGCCCCGGACATGTGAATGAAGGTGTCTTAAACCTTCCAATCCACAACACATCCATCAGCTGAAAACTACCAAGTGACCGCATTTAATGCCTCGTGGAGCAGAAGAATCACCTACCCAAGCACTACTCAAATTTCTGACCCACAGACTTGTGAGCTATAATAAAATGCTGGTTGTTTTGAGTCATTGAGTTTTGGAATACTTGTTATGCAGCAACAGATAGCCATTAGAATAGGCCTGGAGAGAGTTCAGACACCATCACATTTAACAAGCACTCAAGGTGGTTCTGATCCAGAGGGTCAAGGAAACACTCTGAGAAGCACTAGAAGAGAGGGGCTGACTCCAAGGCCAAGTGCCCCCAAGGTGTGTGTCTATATCACGTTATACAGAGAGATAAATGGAAAGAGACAAGGCAGAGCCAGAGAAAAAGGGAGCAAAATAGATTGGGGAGAGGGGAATTAGAGAGGGAAAAAAGGTAGAGGGGGCGGACAGAAAACAGCTTGGAGACCAACACAAGTCAATTCAACAAGCAATGATTGCTGCCTCCTCTGTGCTGGTGTGGTGTATACAGAGATAGTCAGGACCCAGCTGCCTTCACGGAGTTCATGCCAGACACAGGATGGCGCAGAGACAGAGCAGAATAAGAAAGGGCTGAGTGAAGTGAGGTCCAGGCCACTCACCATAAGCTACTCTCTGGGTCTGGGAGCTTTAGCAAGTGAAGACACCAGCCTAGCTTAGCCAGGTCACTCATCACAGGGTCTTTCCTTTTCTTGCCTCTGAGCATGAGGCCCCTGGAAGGGCTGGGTGTGCACCAGGATGGGAGGGCACATGGAAAGGGAGTTTGCCCTGGACAGGGGAATAGAAAAAGGTACTATGGCAAATATAAAGGACAACGGAGGTTGCAGGGGTTGGTAGGGGTGGAGACAGGAAAGGCGGGCAATGCCAAATTTAGTGACAGGTTAAAGGCAAGTGGGTCTGGCTATGGGAGGAATGGGAGAGTGTGAATCCGCTCCAGGTGCAGGCCTCTGAATCAGACACTGAGTCCTGTGTTTACTCTGGGAAGGTTTATTCACGGCACTATTGTTCCCATAATACAAATGGCAGAATGTAAACAGACCAAATTTTGGCTGGTAAAGCTAGGCAGAAGGGAAGCATTACATAGTCAATCAACAGATATTTACTGAGCACCTACTATGTGATGGAACTGGGACTACAGCAGTGAGCCAAGTCCTCACTTTCATGCAGCTCAAGGTCTAGAGCGTGAAGAGAGAAAAAACACAAGTGAATGAGTAATATGACAGGTGGTGATAAAATTAAATAAAAGGGAGAGTCCTCCACAGCAGATAGACAAATGGCCAATAAGCACACAAAAAGGTGTTCAACATCACTAATTATCAGGGACATACAATCAATACCAAGATGAGGCATCACTTTATACCTAGTAGGATGACTATCATTTTTTAAAAAACAGAAAATAACAAGTGTTGAGTAAGATGTAGTGAAACTGGAATCTTTGTGCATTACTGGCGGGAATTAAAATGGTACAGTTGCTGTGGAAAATGGTATGGCGGTTCCTCAAAGAATTAAACATAGAATTACCATATAATCTGCTTCTGGGTATATGCCTTAAAGAATTGAAAGCAGGGGGTCAGCCGAGTGGCGCGTTGGTTAAGAGCTGGCTTGGGATGCTAGAGGGCCCCGGTTCGGATCCCACATGTGAGGGCCAGTGACACTGCCCTCTACAGCTAAGATGCTGAACAACAGCTCAACCTGGAGCTGAGCTGCTGTGAGTCGCCGGCGACGGTGTAGGCTGCAGCCCTTGCTGCAGTGGGTTGCCATGGGCTACCGTGTGTAGCCAGCAGCCAGCGTGAGCAGCCAGCAGCCACTGTGAGTGGCTGTGCAGAAGCCAGCGACTGATCTGCCTCACCCGGGAAGAACGCAATGATGGTGCCAACTTGGGCCAGTGAAGCAATGTCCTCCACAACTAGACTGAAGAACAAAAGGACAGCAACTTATCTGTTCCCCTTCCCCCAATTCCCCAGCGCTGTTCCCATCCCCCAATTCCCCAATAAAAAATCTAAAAAACTTAAAAAAAAAAAAAAGAATTGACAGCAGGGACTCAAACAGATATTTCTACACCCATGTTCATAGCAGCATTACTCCCAGTAACCAAAAAGTGGAAACAACCTAAATGTCCACTGATGGATGAATGGATAAACAAAATGTAGTATATAGATACAACAGAATATTATTCAGCCTTAAAAAGTTCTGACACATGCTGTAACATGGATGAAACTTGGACTTTATGCTTAAACACAAAAAGGCAAATTCTGTATAATTCCACTGACATGAGGTAGTCAAATTCATAGAGACAGAAAGTAGGATGGAGGGTGCCAGGGGCTTTTGGGGAGAAGAAATGGGGAGTCACTGTTTCACATGTTCAGTTTCAGTTTGGGTTTGGGTGATGGCTGCATAGCAATGTGAATGTACTAATGCCACTAAGCTGTGCATTAGAAGTTGTTAAAACTGTAAATGCTATGTTATGTATACTTTCTCCCAATAATTGTTTTAAAGGAGAGTAAGAGGGAAAAATAGTGCTGAGCGAGGAGATAAGATTGTACATGGGGAGATCTTGGAAGGGTTCATTGAGCAAGTGCTATTCAAGCAGAGAAGTATGTTCCAGGGGAGAGTGAATGGGGAGGGGCGGGCACCAGGTAGGAGACAAGGACCAAGGCTTGGCCCAGGCAGACACCATGGGGGTGAAGAAGAGGGACAGTTCCAGGAGGAGGGAGGTCTGCAGGGAGAAAAGAGAGCTGGAGGGCTCAAGGGCCCACAAAGCTCTGACTTGAGACCAGACTCGAGAAAGGGAGGGTGCATGGGTCAGGGACCAAGAATGAAACAGACAGTCCCTCCAAAGATTTAATTGAAGAGCTTGATGAAGGGACTCTGCACAGAGGTGTGGGTGTGGGTGTGGGAATGGAGCAACAAGGAATAGAGAAGCACCCAGAGCCATTACCACCTCTAGGCCTGAAGTGTCACAGGGAGAAACTTAATGCCAGAACTTGGCTAGAAGACCTGGGACTGTGGAGGAGAAGGACTAGACCAGAGCTGGAGAGGAGCTCAGCAAGGGAATAAATACCTAACCTCTCTCTTCTCCTGCACTTCATTCTCCTGGTGGTGTTTCCTCTTGGATGAACCCAACCAGAAGTCAAGAGCAAGAGAGCCTAGGTAATCAGTCTCCAGAGGTCAGCCTCCCAAGGCCCAGAGCAGGGCAGAGATGTGTGGGGAAGAGACCCAGAGGGGCAAACAGAGAAAAGCCATCACAGATGGTGATGCCATTTGTTGAAATGAGTAACACAAGGGTAGGAGCCCTTTTTGAAAAATCAGCAGGGTGATAGGGAAACCAAGGTAGAGTTCTATTTCCCTGAGCCAGGGCAAGGGAGGACAAGAGGTGAGAGGGCTTCCGGGGGCACCCCCATCCCATGTCTGGTAGAATAGTCTGCCCAAAGAAGCTGGGAAAACTTGCTTGCAGCCAGCTTGCAGGGCATTCTCCCCTTCTCCCCTGAAGCAGCTCCCACTGTAAAGCTAGAGGGGGCAGGCGCTTCAGGAGCAGATGAGGGGAGGGCAAGAGAAGGTGTGCCCAGATGGAGTAAAGTGTTCCCAGGCACTAGTCCCAAACAGAGTTGAAACTGGGACTGGTTAGGAACCAAATCACTGCAATGAGGTTTATAGTTAACTTGACTTCATTTAAGGAATGGGCTTCACTCTGAGAGGATGCCATCCCTGCACCTCCCCTGGCCTCCTTCATGTCCCCTCCACACACCCAGCCATGGCTCCTCAGTCAAGGAGAGGCCTGCAGGCCCTCCACGGGCCCTCTCCCAGCCCTTGATCTGCCGACTCCCTGCTCTGCTTTGGGAAGCTCAGTCAGGCAAAGGGGGCAGCCTTTCCCAGGCAGGAGGAACAAGCACACTGGTGCTAAGCCAGCCCAAGGCCCCAGCAGATGAAATATTCATGCAGCCAGAAGGCGAGAGACCAGCAGAGGACTTGCTCTTAGGGCTATGGAGCTGTGGTAATGGCGGCAGCAGCTGCAGCCTACCCCTCTCCCCATCCCAAGCTTTGTACTGCAGACCTCACTGAGCCTAAGCTGTGGGGATCCCAAACACAGACAAACACATGCATGCACACGGACACACACACACACACACTCTCTGAAGACACATGTGGGTGAATAAACTTGGGGGGAAAAGGAGAGGAGGGCAGGAGAGTACACACAGACTCCAGACAGGGGCACAGAAACAGATGCACACAGACATACGAGTACACAGATGGGCACACATGCATGTAAACCTGCACAGACTCACAATAAACATACACTCGACCTAGGGATGACTCTCAATGTCATATAAATGCCTTCTTAAAAATCTGTGCCCCAGGAGCCTCACTGGCCTCACCTTAGTCCAAGTCCTGCTCAAGCCTGCTTGGGTACTTCCAGCCCTGCTTCCTGAAACAGGAAGTTTCCACAGGGACACCACTGGTGGGCTCCAAACCAAGGCCTCTACGTTCCTGGATTCCATTAAGGAAAGGTCCCTGGGCTTCCAGCTCCCCTTCAGGAGCCTGCCTCTAAATTCCTCCACTCAGCCCACTCACTGTTCAGTCAAGGAAAGAGAGGTGGGAGATGCAGGATGAACAGGCCATCCAAGGTCATGAAGGCAGTAACCAAAGGGTGACTTGAACTCACGTCTCCAGATGCCCAACCCAGCACCACCGAAGGTCCAGAGATTCCATTCTCAAAATTCTCTCATCCGTTGGCTGTCCCCCTTCACCACCTGGCCTGGCTTCAGGATGGCCACCAAGATGCATGATGAAAGGGGGTCCTAGGGGCATCTCCCAGCTGGATCCCTGGGACCTCTTAGACACCTGCTGCAATCAGTGTCCTGGCCAGAACTCAGCATATTGAGTTCCACTCCCAATTAATAGCCTCCTTTGCTCCGGGCGCCTCCCAGGGCTGGCGTGCCCCCGACCCTTAAGGAGTGGAACGGACGTCCCTGTGTGGAGAGTCCTCCAACGCCTCGACTCTCGCCTTCGCTGCTGGGGGCCCTCCAGACCTACAGAGGGCGCTGTGGGCGCCAGGCCTCTCTGGCCGTCCGGCAGGGAGGCCGCCTCCATGGTGGTGCGCTGTCCAGCATTTCAGCAATCGGCGGCGGCGGCGGCGCCCGCGGGGAGACCGAGGACGCGGGGCCGTGGCAGCCGCGGAGCTGCCCTGGTGAGCCGAGCCGAGGAGGCGACCCGGAGTCGGCCAGGACAAGCGGGGCCAAAACGCCTGGCTCGAACGCCCGGCGGAGCGCGGCGGTCAGCGGGGAGGTGAGAGAGCCCCTGGTGGGGCGAGAGCATTTCCCAGAGGGGCTGGGGCTGGGTTGAACCTTGGTCCTCCCTAGCTAGACTGGGCCCAGCTCAGGGTCCTCAGGCCCCCTAGCAGGCAGTAGGTTGGAGAACTACTAGAGTGTTTGGTCGTGGATGTGAGGCATCTGGGAAACAGAAATGAGAAACATTGTTCATTTCACAGAGAAGGATGGAGAAAGTGAGAACCCTGCGAGGTCATGGGCAGGACTCCCTTGGGCATAAATGACCATGGCCTGGCCCATGAGGATGCTAGGAAGCCCCCCAACTGCAGTTCAGTTGCCCTCCACCAGCTAAGGAGAAGGACCTGCTCCCTAGGGAAGGGAGAGACCAACGCAGGGACCCTGTGGAGATGTTGTTCACTGAGAGGGGTGGAGGGAGCAGGCCCCCACCTGAAGGCTGGGTTTATGTCCAGCAGGGAGTGGCAGCATAGGGGACAGCCTGGCCCCTTTCTCAGCTGCCCAAATGCCCCTGGGCAAGCACGAGCTGGCAACAAGAACTGGGTCTTACACAGGATGGCATTTCCTCTCACACTGGGAACAGGATAGAGGACACAGAAGTGAAAATAGCCTCTAAGAGTTTAGGGGGGTTCTCTGTGGGCTCTCTGGATGCCCAGGGATCTCAGAGTGGGCCCAACCCCAGAACAAATTCCTGGTAAAAAGGAGAGAGGAGAAAAGAGACACAGACTCTGCCTTGCATCCTCATACCCCTCCCTCCCTCCCTCCCAGGGCTCCTGCCTGGACAGTGGTGAAGCCTCCTGCAGTTCCTGCTCCTGGCAGCAGGTTCATTGTGGAGATGGATTTGGGGGAGAACAAGAGAAGGGCAGCCAGGTCTGGCCTGGTACCCCAGTGCCTGTGCTTTATCCTAGCCACAACTTCTCACCCCCCTAAGACCTCACTCATTCACCCACTTCTGGCATCAGGGGGCCTGGGCTGGTCTTTAGTCTTGAGTCAAGAGAAAAGGCAGATACTTTGATGGAGAGCAGGGCAGGGGCTGGAGTTTCTGTCAAGGGGACATCTTAAGGTCATGTCCCCCAGCATATGCCAAGTTCTTCACCAGCCAAAAATAGGACCAAGCTGGCTGGGAAATTGCCCCCACACAATACCTGCTTCTTGGTTCCTTAACTTTATGCCCCAGCCTACTCTCCTGTGAGGGGTGGGGGAGGAATTCTTGAAGAGTGAATAGTTGATTAGATTTTAAGAGGTGGGGGTGGGTGGGTTCAGAGTCATGAATTCTAAAGTTTAACAGACATGGGTTCAAGTCTAAGCTATGTAACTTCAAGTAAGCCACTTAACCTTTCTGAGCCTGCCTCCCAATTTGTAAAACAGGTAAAGCATTAACAGCATCTACTTTGCTGTTCAAAGAAATAATCCAGATAATGAATGAGAAACTACTTTTCAGCTGTAAACTGTTGGGCAAGTGTCAGTAAATAGAACGCAAATAAGAATTTCTTAAGGAGGAGCTGGATAAAGGTGGCCAAATTTTCAGCATTGTCTAAAGCACATCATTCTCTTCCCAGAGGAGGTGGGCATTGGCTGAGGGCCTCGAACCAAGCTCCATGCTGGGCACAAGGCTACAGTTGACTCAATTAATCCTCACAAAAACTTCACAAGGAAGCCACCATTGTCCCTATTTCACAGCTGAAAAAGGAGACTTGAGTGACTTTCTCAAGGTCATGAAGCCACCCAAGCTGTCTTCCTTAGGGCAGAAATAGAGCTAATGACCTGTCTCAGTCCCTTGATATCAAGAAAGACCCAGTTAAATGCCAGTTTCTTGAGCCATGCTGCCAGCTTTCCAGATGGGGAGCCTGTGGCATATGGGTGAGGGTGTGCAGTGCAGGAAGAAGCTGACTCTCCCAAGGTCACTGGGATATTTGGAGGTAGAATGTGCTTTGAACTGGCTGGTGGGTGCCCCCGCCATATACCACCCCCGCCACTGTCATGCCTACCAAAGGGGGAGTCTGGGTCTGGCAGGCCCATCTGCTCACTGCCGCACCCACTTCTCACCTCCTCTGCCTGACAGCCTCTTGCTGACCTCGGCAAGTCGGTGACTGCCTGGTCCTTTCTGAAGCAGTTAGTCCTCACCCCCTGAGACGGGGCCTTGGTCACAAGCAACTGCCGGCACTGCTGGTATGTGCCTCACCTATTGATTTTTCTCTTCCTCTGACCAATTTTTATTGTCCCAAGGGGCAGAATCATAGCTCCTCCTGTCCCAGCAGCCAACCGGGAGCTCTGCTGAGGAAATGGGGGGAGCCCACCTTCTTCTTTAACTCCTACACACATTCTGAGCCCCTGCCATGGACCTGTCACTTCCCATACATTCTCTCATTTCATACTCATATAACCTGGTGACATTTCATCCTCACATAGCCTGGTCCTTTTCACAGAGGAGCAAAACAAGGCCCGAAAGTGACATGACTTTCCCAAGGTCACAGAACAAAGTCTTGGTGCAACCCTAGCCCATTGCCTCAGGGCCCAGTGTGGCTTCTACAACACCACCCTGTCCTCAATTCTTCAGGTTCTCCTGGGGGAGGGTCAACCAGGGCACAGTGGGCTGGTGGGGACTGGGGCACGACATGTGGTGGAAGTGACTGAAGGGCTTTGGAACAGGATCCCGAAGACCTCTTTCTGGGCCCATCTCTGACCCTGGTTTCTTGTATGACCTTGAACAGGTCCCTTCCTGTCTCTGGGCCTCAGCATCCTCAACCACAAAATGATAGGGTTTGATTAGATGACCCCGAAGGCCCTGCCAGCAAGATTTTAAGATCTCCCTGCTCTATAAATCTGTATGTCGGGAAGCCTGTGGGTCCATCAGCAGAGATTAAAGTCACTTTCAGTGTTTCAAGGTTTGATTTATTAGTTGGAACTGAAATTTAAAATGCACCCATACCTCCTACCTACAAGCTTGAGGTCTTAACTCAAGGGGGGAAATATGACTTGGAGCGGCCTAGTGTCTCACCCGGAGATCCCAGGTTGAGGCCCTCTGTGCCCAGGATTTGAGGTGACCTGCAGGGACACTGAGGATGCCCTGCATACACATTCCAGAGTTGTTTGCCAGAGTCCAGAAGGCCCCAGAACACACATGCATAATCCCCATGTCCAGGTAAGCAGCAGGGGTGCGGTGATTGAGGTTTATTCAGAATCTTGGGGACAGGGTGGGATTTTGCAGCTGATGCTGTAAAGAGAGGATGCAGGGCCCCACAAAGGGGGTGGATTGGTATGTGACTAGTCCAGGCCCGGTGGGAAGGGGCAGCCAGACAAGAAATGGAGAAGTTCCTTCTCAATTCCAACACCTGGGCTCAGTGAAGGGGGATTGGAGGGTGGGAACTCAGAGAGGGAAAGGGTTTAATGAGGACAGAAAGGATCAGAGAGAGGGCACTCAGTGAGAGTGGGTTCAGAGAGGAAGGGGGGGCAGAGGCTGCACAGTGAGGGGACAGAGAGATCAGTGAGAGAGGGTGGGAGGCCCAGAGGAGCAGAGGGGCTTATGAAAGTGAGGGGCTCATTACCAACAATTAAAGACCCCAGCCTGGCCCAGCCTAGTTCATCATTGTGGCTTAGGCCTGCCACTTTACCTTCCTCTGGGACCTGAGCATAGGAGGGCAGCAGTGCCATCCCCAGAGGCCAAGCCCTGTTGACGCCATGTATCCAGAATGGGGTTCTCAGGGGGCCTGGGCAGGTGAACCCGTTCCAGGCTGCCCAGGATGACTATTGGCCTGGGAGAAAGGCCTCAGCAGCCATGTGTGTCTTGGCTCCAGAGCTGCCCCCAACCCCCAGGGACTCCCACCCTGTAGCCAAAAGCCACCGGCCCATCCATCTGCAGCGCTGCTTCCTCAGCAGTCAGCCTGGCCTCAGCCTCCTGCCACCCCCGCCCTGGCCTGCTGCCCACTGCAGAGGCTGCTGTGCCAGCTGGAGCTGGCGGGCAGTGCCACAGCTCCCTTAGCATCCTGCTGGGGTCTGTGAGGACTGAGGCAGTCTGGCTCCAGTGATCCTTACCTTGGGGTACAGACAGCTTACTGCACTGGGGAGCTCTTGGCCTGCCAATTTCTAGCATTGCGTGTGGCTGGTGGCTCTGAGACCCCTCCCTTTACTGAGCCCCATCCCCACCAGCATTCCCCAGAACGCCCCAGCATGGAGACAGGTAAAAGTAAGTTTAATTGAAGTCTTTTGATTTGAAAAAGGATACATTTTTATTGTACAAGACTTGGGAAGTAAAGACATTAAAGAGAAAATAGGAAACATGCTCTTGGAGGAAGCCAGCATCCTACTTTTTTACTCTTCCATGCGAATTTTCTGATGTTTTTAAAGATTCTTCAAAAAGCATAATTTTAATGACCGTGTGAAGGCTGGGCATGGGTGGAGCTGCTTCGCAGGGAGTCAGTAAAAGCTGCAGAGAGGACCTTGCCCCGCCTTACTCTCCTGGGTGGGGTACACCTTCAGGGTCTGCCGGCTGTGTTTTCCCTTGGAGAGGATGGCTATGGGGCCTGTGACAGGGTAAGTGAGGGACTGAGGTGGACCTGCTTCCTTTGTCCACCTCTCTGCCAGCACCAAGGTGGGGAGGGCCGAGGCTGCTAGGGGAGAGGGCGTGTGAGACAGTCATACATTCCCTGGAGAGGGTGACAGCCTGGACCCAACAAGACCTCAGGAGAAAGAGCTCAGAACTGGGAATTGAGCAACTGCCAATCTTCTGGGCTTGGATCTCATCTGGGCCCCAGTCTCCACAATCAGGTCTTCTTCTCCTGTAAAATGGGCGTATGAACAGTGATGTGGCTAGCCAGAGGAGGCTTTTGGGACTTGGAGAATGACAGGGAAGGTGCCAGACAGAGAAGGCAGGGGCATGGCATTCTGGAGGACAGCATGGGAAATCGCACAAAAGTTCCGGTGAACTAAGTGGACAGTGAATGATCTAATGTAGCCGTAGCACAGAAGGCATTCCTAGGACGAGAGGGCCGCCAGGGGGAGTGGTAG